TGTGTGCACAGTGTGTGAGTAGACTGGAGTGTGTGTGCACAGTGTGAGTAGACTGGAGTGTGTGTGCACAGTGTGTGAGTAGACTGGAGTGTGTGCACAATGTGTGTAGACTGGAGTGTGTGCACAGTGTGTGTATATACTGGAGTGTGTGCACAGTGTGTGTGTGTAGACTGGAGTGTGTGTGCACAGTGTGTGTGTAGACTGGAGTGTGTGTGCACAGTGTGTGAGTAGACTGGAGTGTGTGTGCACAGTGTGTGTGTAGACTGGAGTGTGTGTGCACAGTGTGTGTGTAGACTGTGGAGTGTGTCAGCGCAGTGCGTGAGTGAGCACCCTGCACGCAGGTCACCCCACTTGGAATATGGTGCTTGCGGGCCTGTTGTTTGCTGCCATGGTGGTTGTGGCCCTGGTGCTGTGGGCTGTGGGCCCGAGGGCTCCACTTCCCGCGGTCACGGCTCTCTACAGCTGTGCTTTGTGGGCAGCATACTCCTCACACAGTCTGAGTCTCTTTGAGGAGAGGCCTGTGGCACGGCAGAAGGTACCAGCACATTGCTGCCACTCCGCTGGCAGTCCAGCACGTTCCTGGCAGGTGGTGGTGGTGAACTGTCTCCCTGAGCCCTGGCTCACGAGCTTGGGACGGCAGGCCCGGGCTGCACACGGGTGGGCTCACCGCAGGGGTCATGGGGAGGCGGGCGGGTACTGGAGTCAGCAGGGTTGTGAGTGGGTGGTACCACAGGGCCCTGTCCAGAGGACATGGCAGCCCGCGAGCCTGCCTCCCATGGGAAGAGCTCAGGACAAGGGACCAGCCCTGGGGCGGACTGGCTCCTGCAGAGCCCTTGGAATGGCAGGGCCCAGGTGGGCCAGTGTTTTCAGGTGCCTTGGCCATGGCTGTTCGGAACCAAGAGCAAGCAGGGAGTTGCGGGGCACTGGAGACGCTGTGCATGGCTACGGGCTGCCGGAGAGCCCGTGGCTGAGCCCTTGGTCCTTTGCAGCAGCGGCCCTCCCCCGTGGCTGGGCCTCACTCCTTCCCTGTGGCTGGGCCTCATCCCTCCCCCATGTCTGACCCTCCCTCTCCCCCTTGGCTGGCCGTCCCCCGTGGCTGACCACCCCTCCCCTTCCCCTGTGGCTGACCCTCACTCCTTCCCTGTGGCTGAGCCTCATCCCTCACCCGTGGCTGACCCTCTGTGGCTGACTCCCCCTCCCCCTTGGCTGGCCCTCCCCCGCCTCCACCGTGGCTGACTCCCCCCTCCCCTGTGGTTGGCCCTCCCCCCTCCCCCATGGCTAGCCCCCCCTCACTGTAGCTGACCCCTCCCATCCCCCATGGCTGGTCCTCTCCCCTCCCCCATGACTGACCCTCTCTACCCCGTGGCTGGCCCTCCGCCCTCCCCTGTTGCTGGTCCTCCCCCCTCCCCGGTGGCTGACCCTCCCCCCTCCCGTGTGGCTTTCTTGTGGCAGGTCATCAACCGCTCCACCACCGAGCTGCCACTCACCGTGTGCTACGACAAGATCTCTCTGGGGCGCCTGCGCTTCTGGATCCACATGCAGGACGCCGTGTACTCCCTGCAGCAGTTTGGTGGGTGTCCTGGGCCGGGCTGGGTTACTCTGTGGTTACTCCCTTTATTCACGAGCAACTCCACACCTCCTGGCATGGGCCGTTCATGCCCTTGCCTGTGGTGTCTCCATTTTCCTCCTTGGAAATGACCTCGTGGATTATTTGAAAATAGGCTGTATTCAGAAATAATGTTTTAAGTGCCACATTCTCAGTCAAAAAAAACTGCTGCTAGCAAAGTGTAAACGTTCTACATGCACAAATGATTTTGTGTTGGGATGTGTGTCTTCTTCCTGGCAGGGTTTTCAGAAAAAGATGCTGACGAAGTAAAGGGGATATTTGTGGACACCAACTTGTACTTCCTGGCACTGACGTTCTTTGTGGCCGCGTTTCACGTGAGTTCTCGGGAGGACTGGCCACAGGTGCTGGGGAGGCTCCCTGCTGGCACCATGTGAGCCCACACCCCGGGACCACCATCCCTGACTGTGGTCCCTGCTTTGGGGCAGTTTTCAGGAGGCTCTGCGGTACTTTGGACAGTGTCTGCACCACCGAGTTTAACTTTGCAGAATAGTCATTCTGCTATTCGGGGCTGCTATGATGATGTTAAACTTGAGAAGGCATTTCGGCATGTAGCATGCGTCTTGCACAGAGCCCAGAGCTCTGGGGAGCCCTCCCTGTGTGGAGGATGGAGCCGCCGGGCTGGGGTGGGACGTCCGGGTGCCATCACGCCAGTGGGGTGTTTGCATGGTGTGCGGCAGGGCCTTGTGCTTGAATTAATGGCAGCCGTGCACGTTCCCTGGGATTTGGGTCAGAGGTGCGTGTCTGAGAGCCAGGCGCGCAGCTCTGACCGGCACAGGAGTGGGTTACCCAGCATGTAGCCCCTCTCCGTGGCAGGCCTGCCGGGCGGGTGCAGATGATGAGAGCGGCTGTAGCGCAGACCGCTGTCCTGTCTATTCTTTGCAGCTTCTTTTCGACTTCTTGGCATTTAAAAATGACATCAGTTTCTGGAAGAAAAAGAAGAGCATGATTGGCATGTCCACCAAAGCAGGTAGGGCCCAGGAGTCTTCACCCACCTTAGTCCTGAGGGCGTCGGTGAGGCCTACAGGTTCAGCCCCGGGCCTGAGCACTCACGAGTGCTTCTTTGGAGCCTGAGAGCCACTGAGGCTCGAGGGTGGGGTAGGGCGTGGGGACACAGGCCCTTCAGCACACGTGTGTGTGTGTGTGTGTGTGTGTGTGTGTGTGTGTGTGTGTGTGTGTGTGGAGTGTGAGCTCACACCAGGATCTGGCAAAGACCCAGTTGATGTGGAGTGTGGATAGAGTCAGATGCCCCACAACCGCTCTCCACCCCTGCCTCCCAAAGTGATGCGGGCTGCAGCCTGGAAGGTTCCAGGCTCTGTATACTGGCTTAGAGGCAGTTGCCAGAAGAAAGGCTTGTTTTCGCGGTATCAAAGCCAGCATGGTCTGAGCATGAGTTGTGGGGTGGTGAGGGGCTGGTGAGCATGCTCCTTCACCTGTCTGTGAGGACTTGGCATCGGCCTCCAGGGTCAGATTCAAATGGAAGATAGCTTTTTGTTTTACCGTCAGTCTTGGGGCTTGGACTCAGGGCCTGGGCACTTTCCCTGAGCTCTTGCTCAAGGCTAGTACTCTACCGCTGTGAGTCACAACTCCACTTCCAGTTTTCTGGTGGTTCATTGGAGATGAGCTCATGGCCTTTCCAGGCTGGCTTTGAACTGCGATCCTCAGACCTCAGCCTCCTGCATCGCTAGGATTACAGGCGCAAGCCGCCAGGGCCCTGGTTGAAGATAGATCTTCCTCCCCCATAAAGACAAACCTGGGTAGCTCCCAGGAGAGGAGAGGCCCCCTGCTGGCACTGTGAGAGGACACTCACTGACCAGGGCATCTGCAGTCCTCGAGATCACCAGTTGCACACAGAAAGCAGGACACACTGGGATGCTTTTCGGTGTACATCTTGAGAAGGGAAAAACTACAGCTTTACAGAAGCTGGAGACCTTTATCACAGAACAGTGTAACACATGAGGTGTAGAGGAGGCAAGAAAGTGGGTATGGGGTCCTGGCAACCAGTCCTGATGAGAGGAATGCCACAAGCATCCTGGCTTGCTCGTGGGTCTGTCGCTTCACTGAAACATGCTGTCTGGCTGCCGCTCTGCCAGCTCTTCAGCTCTCTGGCCTTCAAAGAGCTTTCTAGAGCTGCGTAATTGTCCACGATTGATTCCCGTGGTACTGGGATCGAACTCAGGCCTCGCCCTGCCAGCACGTACCAGTGAGCGCTGTCTCAGCCCCCTCCTTCAGACGGGAGGTTGTGGGGGGGATTGACTCCGTGTGCCCGAGGGTGGGGGCGGGCCTAGGGTTATGTCCTCGCTCTCACCATGCCACCTTGCCCCCAGTACTCTGGCGCTGTTTCAGCACCGTGGTCATCTTCCTGTTCCTGCTGGATGAGCAGACCAGCCTGCTGGTGCTGGTTCCTGCAGGCGTGGGCGCTGCCATCGAGGTGAGTCGGGGCGCCACACCAGGTCTGGGTGGACGGTACAGCGAGGGCCACAGACGCTGTGCTGGCCGCTGTAAGGCCCTCTGAGGAGTGTGTGTGTGTGTGCGTGCATGCACACTCACGGGTGTGGGAGGCAGGGAAGCATGTGAATGTGCTCCTGTGGCAGAGCCGTGAGGCCCTCTGAGGAGTGTGTGTGCGTGCATGCACACTCACGGGTGTGGGAGGCAGGGAAGCGTGTGAACGTGCTCCTGTGGCAGAGCCGTGGGCGATGTCCGTGCGTGGCCCACTGGCCGAGCCCATGTCCTCCCGCAGCGCCCGTGCTGGTGGTTCGTGACGGCCATGTGGCCGTGAGGATCTTGCGTTTGGGCTGAGATTCGAGGCAGGCTGACCGTGTAGGAGTGGCTAAAGTCACTTGGCACTGGGGAGCCCTGGAGGCCAAGCCTGGAGGGGGCACTGGGCTGGGGCAGGCCCAGAGATCCTCCTTAGAGCCCTGTCCACCTTGGTCCTGGTGAGACCCACAGCAGGCCCTAGCGCATGTGGCTGCCGGTGCCTGCCGAGGTGTGGGGGTCGGTGACCTTAGTCACAGTGGTCGTGGTACTCATTCCGCAGCGCTAAGCCTGACCCAGCGAGCTGCAGGAGAGCATGCGGAGGGTCCAGGGCCAGGCTTCTGGAGGGCTTCCTAGGTTCTGCCAACAGTCACAGAAGTAGTGGGTGGGGGGCCCCTGCAGGAAGAGGCCGCGCCCGCACGGGCTGCATGGCTGAGGCGGGGTGGGCCGGTGGCCGCGGGCCTGGGCAGCGTGTGCTCCCTGTGCTGCAGCCTCAGTGTAGGCGCTTCCTTGTTCCCTCAGCTCTGGAAAGTGAAGAAGGCTCTCAAGATGACGGTGACCTGGAGGGGCCTGAGGCCACGGTTCCAGGTAAGATCTGTGGTGAGCAGCCTCCCCTGCTAGACCCACACACTCTGCTCTCCCCACCCCTGCCAGAACGCTGCCCATCCGCTCTCCTTCCACACCCCTGCCAGAACGCTGCCCCTCTACACCCCTGCCAGACCCACGGCTCCTCCACTCTCCCTTCCCACCCCTGCCAGATTGCTGCCCCTCCACTCCCTCCACACCCCTGCCAGACCCACTGCCCCTCCACTCTCCCTCCACACCCCTGCTAGACCCATGGCTCCTCCACTCTCCCTCCACACCCCTGCCAGACCACTGCCCATCCGCTCTCCCTCCACACCCTTGCCAGACCTGCTGCCTCTCCACTCCCTCCACACCCCTGCCAGACCCACGGCTCCTCCACTCTCCCTCCCCACCCCTGCCAGACCACTACCCATCCGCTCTCCCTCCACACCCTTGCCAGACCACTGCCCATCCGCTCTCCCTCCCCACCCCTGCCAGACCCACTGCCCCTCTGCTATCCCTCCACACCCCTGCCAGACCCACTGCTCCTCTGCTCTCCCTCCCCACCCCTGCCAGACTGCTGCCCCTCCACTCTCCCTCCACACCCCTGCCAGACTCACAGCTCCTCCACTCTCTCTCCCCACCCCTGCCAGCCCTGCTGCCCCTCTGCTCTCCCTCCTCATCTCTGTGCGTTCCTAGTCTGCTCATCCTTACCAAGCTGCCTCTTTTTTTGGGGGGTGGGGGAGCACTTGAACTCAGGCCCTGTGTGCAGTAATTGAGCTTTTTTGCTCAAGGCTACCACTGTACCACTTGACTTTTTGGCGGTTAATTGGTGATAAGAACCTCATGGAGATGCTGTGCAGGTGGCTCAGTGGTAGAGTGCTTGCTTCCTGTGCATGAGGTCCTGGGTTCAATCCCTCAGCACCACATAAACAGAAAAGGCCGGAAGTGGCGCTGTGACTCATGTGGTAGAGTGTTGGCTTTGAGCTGAAGAACTAAGGGACAGGCCCAGAGTTAAAAGCCCCATGGCCGACAAAAAAAGAACATGGACTTTCCTGCCTAGGGTGGTTTCAAACTGAGATCCTCAGGTCTCAGCCTTCTAAGTAGCTAGGGTCATAGGCAGGAGCCACTGTGCCCAGCCAGCCTGTCTTTTTTAGCTGTGCGCACGAGCATCAAACCTTCCAAAGGCAGGTGGCTGTCATCCAGTCCTGTGAGGCTCACACTGGCTTTGTGATGGGTTGGGTTTTCTTCAGTCAGGAGACAAACGCTGATTTCCTTAGAAACAGAGAGCTGGACCTCCAGGCCCAAGCAACCTTGGGGAAGGAAGTTTAGCATGGGTGAGAGACCCAGGCTGCTGAGAGACCCAGGCTGGGTCCTGGGAAGTCATCTGCCCACGTTTGCTAGGGAATGGACCTGGATTGAGCTGGCCTTTGGGGGATGTGGCCCCTTTTCAGGCTCCTGGTGCGGCTGCCTTGGTTTTTCCACTTAGGGTAGAGCAGTGGTGTGGGAGTCGGAGGCTCAGGCGGGTGTCTCCCCCTGGCGCAAGCCTGGGCGCTGTGAGGCTGGGGCCTCTGAGGTGGTGGTGGGGAGCATCACCCTGTGGTCCAGGCCTGGTGGGACTCAGTGGGACACTGGTGGTGTGTGGATACCGCACCTCCACCGCCAGTCCCTGTGCTGAGGCCCTGCCGAGCCCACTGACATTGCCTGTGATCTCGTAACAGTTTGGCACCTACAGCGAGTGTGAGAGGAAGACGGAGGAGTATGACACCCAGGTGAGCCGTGGGGTTGTGTGTGCTGGAGACTCGTGGTTCATCCCCTGGGAAGGCGGGTTCCCGGGGCTGAGCACAGACCCCAGATTCCCTGCCCCGCCCAGCTGCTCCCGCAGCAGCTTGGTGCATGTGGCTCCCTGCCGGCACCGCCTCTGGCGAGGCTGGATGGTCCAGTCTGACAGGCCATCTCCACAGGGCTGGACTTGGGTTTTAGGTTTGATGCCCACCCGTTGTATTTGAATTCCATTGACATTATAATGGATCTCAGGTCACACAAACGCAGGGCCCGGAGGCTTTCACCCTGGTCCTTAGACTTCTTGAGATGTCCTCCGCTCCTGCTGACTGCCCCACCCTCGTCCTGCTGTCTTTGATGAGGTGGGCTCCCTGTGTTAGGGTCACCCAATTCCTGCAGTTGCGTGCCAGTTTGCTCCGAGTGCCAGCAAACAACACCATGACGTGAGGCTGCCATTGTCACGGCGCACAGCCGAGTCACTCGCTGCCCTAGACGCTGCAAGGGTCCCGTATCTCTGCTTGATTCCGTTGTTGCTCATTGCTCCTGATGTATGTCTGCTACACTTGGTGCGCCTAACTGGAGATGATGTCTGTCCTCCCCCCAGGCCATGAAGTACTTGTCTTACCTCCTCTACCCGCTCTGTATCGGGGGCGCCATCTACTCGCTGCTGAACATCAAGTATAAGAGGTGGGTGATGCAGCCGTTGTGTTCCTCAGCTGCCAGGGACTCCAGACTCACGCAGGCTCTGCCACCATGCTGCGGAGCCGGTTGGCGCTGGCTTGGCTGTCCTCTGGGTTGTGCGTCCCAGTGCCGTGAGGAGCAGTTGGAGAAATGAAGGCACCCCCGGTTTGTGGGGCTGGGGTCTCTCACCCAGCGTCCTGTGGCTTTTGTCCCCATGCACCACCCCGGCGCACCTTCTGGTCTGAAGGTGCGGGCCTTCCTATCTCCACCGGGGACAGGTGTGCAGGTGGGACAGCGCTCGAGAAAGAACGCATCTGCTTTGCTCACGCCTTCGGCCACACATGAGCAGGCAGAAGGACCGAGGAGAGGCAGTAGGCAGTTGTGGCGCTGGCCAGAGGTCTGGAGGGGGCGGCTGTGGCCCCGCCACGTGGAGCCACAGCATCGAGAGCTACATGTAGGCACCTTTCCGTGCAGTGTCCTGTGTTTCCATCCGGAGCAGCTTTGCGTGCAAATTGTCTGTGGTCTGGCAAGGCCCTGGAAAGGAGCGAGTAGGGGGCGTGGCCTGTGTCCACCGAGCTCTGTGCTACCCCACACACACTGGTGGACACAGGGCCTCGTCACGCCCAGCTGCCCTGCAAGACTGAGGGCTGTGAGAGGGACCTGCTTCTCTTTTGTTTCAATGAAACATTTATTTATCTTTGGTCAAAACATTCAGTGGTGTGGTCACAGGCTGTGTGGACAGTGTGGTGTGGTCATGGGCCATGTGGACAGTGTGGTGTGGTCATGGGCCGTGTGGACAGTGTGGTGTGGTCACAGGCCGTGTGGAGAGTGTGATGTGGACACGGGGGCCGTGTGGACAGTGTGGTGTGGTCATGGGCCGTGTGGACAGTGTGGTGTGGACACGGGCCGTGTGGACAGTGGTGTGGACACGGGGGCCGTGTGGACAGTGTGGTGTGGACACGGGGGCCGTGTGGACAGTGTGGTGTGGACACGGGGGCCGTGTGGACAGTGTGGTGTGGTGTGGACACGGGGGCCGTGTGGACAGTGTGGTGTGGTGTGGAC